AGGACCTCACCACATGTGCCCAGACTTCTGACCTACAAACTGTGAGCTAAAAATTGATGTTGGTATAAGCCACTACATTGGCAGTAATTTGTTACATAGCACCGTGGTTCGAATATTTGTCCTCTCCAAAACACATGTTGAAATCGAATCCCCAATGTGGCCATATTGAGAGGTAGGGCCTTTAAGAGGCGATTGGGTCATGAGGGCTCTGCTCTCATGAATGGGTTAGTCCATTCATGGATTAATAAATTAATGGGTTAATGGACTAATGGATTATCATGGGGGGAACTGGTGGCTTTATAAGTAGAGGAAGAGAGACCTGAGAGAGCACATCAGCACACCCGGCCCTTTCCCATGTGTTGCCCTGTACAACTTTAGGACTCTGCAGAGAGAGTCCCCACCAGCAACAAGGCCATCACCAGATGTGGCCCCTTGACACTGGTCTTCTTAGCTTCCATAACTGAAAGAAATAATTTCATTTTCTTTATAAATTACCTAGTTTCAGGTATTCTCCTATAAGCAACAGAAATGGACTAAGACACACAATAGTAGAAAATGAATATTGTACCACAGTGATGCCGGATGTTATTGGAGAAAACTGGGTGAAGAGTAGGCAGAACCTCTTTGTAAAATTTTTTGACAACATGCTATGGCCCTATAATTATTTCCCACAATAAATTTATTTAAAAGGGAGATTGCATGTCCTTGTCAAATACATGTAGAATAGTCACAGAAATTGACCATGTGTTAAGCCACAAGAAGATTTTTAAATTTTCAGTAAGAAGAAATCATACAAATCTTAATCATTGACCACAATGCAGAAATGACTTCATCATTAATAAAATACTGACAATGAAAAATAACAATGAAAGAGTAAGTTTTAAAATACACTTCTTAATAATTCCCAGATTAAAAAAGAAAGCAATTACAAGCTATTCGAAAATGAACGATAAGGAGAGCACCATGATGTGTGTGTGTAAATGCATGTATATGTGTGTATGTATGTTCATGTGTATGTATGTGTGTATATGTGCATGTATGTGTATGTATGTGTGTATGTGCGTCTGTGTGTATGTGTATGTGTGCACATGTATATATGTGTGCATGCACTTGTGTGTATATGTGTGTGTGCATGTATGTGTATATGAGTGTGTGTATGTGTGTGTCACTATGTGTATACATATTTGCATGTGTGCACGCGTATGTGTGTGTATATATGTGGAAGTGTATATGTGTATGTATGCGTGTGTGTGTGTGTACAGTGCCATTCCAAGGACGTAGCCTTAACCACATTTACAAGAAAACAGAAAAGACTGAAAATAATTGAGTTAAGCTTTCACCTTGAGAAGCTAGAAAAAGAAAATAAAAATAAGCCCAAGAAAGGAATTAGTAAACACAAAAGCATAAATTAATGAGATCAAAAGCAAACAACAAAAATGCAGAGTGTGTAAACAGCGCAAAGGCATGTAAACAATATTAAAATGTCAAAGGACAGGATGTGACTTTAAAGCCTTAAAGAGAATACATTAAAACACTAAAATTTTAAAAATCAATAAAAATGAAAGATTTCATCTAAAAATAAAAATGACCAAAATTAGAAAAATAAAAAAATAGAAATAGAAGCACCATACAGATCAATCTCAGAAAAAAATAAACTGAAAAGACATCCAAAGATCTGCACCTAAACAGCACCAAGTCCAGCGGGAGCTTTTGTGCAAATTCTGTAAATACTTGCAATTTATGTAAGCAGTGTCAGAGGATAGAAAAGGAGAGAAATCTGCCTTTAACTCAAATCTAAAATAATAATTGCAGAAGTTTGAAAACAAAAAGACAGTGAATAAAATATCTGCATATCAAGTCCTGAGTATATCAAAGAATAATACATCATAACCAAAAGAGTTTGTCCCAAGAAATGCTAGAATGGTTGAAGATTAGAAAATCCATTAATATATTTCATTACCTTAGCATATTAATAAAGAAAATATATATGATCATCTCAATAAATGCCAGAACATTATTTGCTATAATGTCACTCCTTATATCAACAACAAGAACTATAACACAAACTCTTAGGATTATTTAATAATCTCAAACAAAGTCCTAAGCAAGCCATGAAATCTTAAAGCCATTAAATAAAAGATTCATTCATTTTACTGCATTAAAAAATATGCAAGGCTAAAAATATGGTATAGACCACCCCAATGCAAGATGTTAGTAATGGGAAACCGCCGGGAGGTGGGGAGGATGGTGGGCACATAGGAACTCTACTTCCCATTCAGTTTTTTTGTAAACCTAAAACTGCTCTGGAAAATGGTCTATTAATTTATGTATATTAAACAAAGAAGAACAAAAAATGAAACACTTGGAACATATTGATACACAGGCTCAATACATTAATATGTAAAGAAATCATACAAACGATTTAAATAATAAAGCAAACCAATAGAAAAATTAGTGAAAGATACAGATAAACAGTTCACAGCAAAAGAAATACAAGAGGCTTTTCAATAGCTACATACACACACACACACACACACACACACACAAGGAAAGAGAGGCAAATTAAAATGCAACACCATTTTCAGGCTAACAAATTGGCAAATATAAAGTTTGATAATGCAAGGGTGGGGGAAAACAGGTGCTCGCCTATCTCCTGCCTCATGGGTGGAACTGCAGGCTGGAGCACAGCCTCTTTTAGAAAACTTGACAATAGGAACTAAAATTTTAAATCCGCATACTCTTTAACTGGACAAGTTTATTTTTATGAGTTTACCGTATAGAAATGCTCACAGAGGAAGGTAAATATTTACCTATAAAGGTGTTTATTCCAGATTGTTCACAGTAGGAAAAGACTGAAAACTGCCTAAATGGCCGTCAAAAACTTACAGGAACAATGGCGCATCCTCATAATGAACAACTATGAATAATAGTCAGCCATGTTTTTCCAAGAAGAGTGGATTTCTAAGAACTGATACAGAATGATGTCAAAGACACATTTGTAAGTGTAGTTGGTGGCGGAGTGGTAGAAATCAACAATGGAATGGGGCGTGAATGTGTGTGAGTGTGTGTCTGTGTGTGTGTGTGTGTGTGTGTGTGTGTAAGAAAGCTAGAACCTGTACACAGATGACCTGAGGAAGAACACACACTCAAAAGCTGACAATAGGGCTGGCCCTGGGAGAAAAAATGGGAAAAAAGTCAGAGTTGTGAGGAAAGTTCTTTTCTCATGATTTATTTTTGTTTCCTTTGAAATTTTTCCCATGTACATATACTTTAAAAATATTTTAGGGACAAAAATTCCTAGGAAACTAAGAACGCAAGATAGTTAGATAAACGTTATCTATCTGAAACCTATAACAAAAGTCCATTTCTTGGTGAAACATTAGAAGGAGCCCCATTAAATTCAGAAATAAAATAAAGATATGTATTAATAACCTGTGATAATATTCAAATTGTACCTGAGGTCCTATCCAATGCAATGAGATGGAGAAGGGGCAAAGTATAAATGTTAGAAGTGATACAAAATTATCACTCTTGCAAATAATATAACTGTCCACATAGAAAATCCAGAAGCGAATCAACTGAAAAATTACTAAAACTTTCTTTTTATTTCCTTAGAACATTTATTTATTTATTATCAGAAGTTTAGCCAGGTGGCCAAATAGAAGATTCACATATAGAAATCAATAGCGATCTCATACATCAGCCAAAACCAATCTAAAAGTACAACTTTAAAAAAATATTCAAAATAGACACAAAATTTCAAAATATGCAGGAATAAAGATGGAAAAGAAACATGTCAGACCTACGTGAAGAAAATTATAAGCTTTACTGAAGAACATAAAATAGGATTTGAACAAAGGGGGAGTATAAAGATGTCAGTTTTCTCATAAATTAATACATTTGAGGAACTGTCTATCAAATTGGCAATGTGTTGTTTCTTTTTTAATTTACAGGCTTATTCTAAAATTTATGTATAGGAAAAATATCAAAAAATGTTGGTATAGAATGATGGTGACACTGCTCAGTTTACAGAAGAAAAATATAAATGTCCACTACATGGCAAAGATATTCAATGTCACCAATAATTAGAGAAATGCAAAATAAGAAAATAACAAGGTACCTTTTTTCTCCCTTAAATATCCTTAAATATCTAAGTGATAGTGTGAGGGAGGAGACATAGAAACTCACAGACACAGTTGGTGGGAGTTTAACTGGTACAGACTTTTTCAAAGGAAATTGGCAATATTTATAATATTAAAACTTTAACTGTGCATATTGTCCAACTCGGCACTGACAAGGTAACTTTCAGAGTCTACTCCAGAGGTGCACGTAAACAGGTATCCAAAGAGGTGGATCGAGCATGTTCCTGCAGCATTGTGTCTGACAGCAAAAATCAGAAACAATTCAAATGCCCATTAATAAGAAGATAAATTTTAAAAATATAGCAGAACCATATTTGGGAATAAAGGGCAGCAGTTTTTAAAAAATCAGTGTATTCATACTGACATTGCACAATTTCAAGATATACATTTTGGGAAATATCAAAAGAAAGTTGTAAAATGTTATTTACTCTGTAACATAGTTTATGTTCCAAATTTTATGTATTTATGCACATGTATATGATTATAAATGCAGATTAAAAACAAGTGGTTAACTTATGTCTGGGGACAGACAGAGATTGGAGAGATGGTAAAATCATGGGGGTCTTTTGTTTCCTTCGTATTGTTTGAAATTTTAATATGCAAATGTAATCATGTATTAAGGATGTATTTTTTAAAACTCCCCCAAATGTAAAGGTGGTAATCTCAAAAGTTTGTTTACACATGGGATTATTGTCACGTATCTTTATTTTATAAGAATTTGAATGTTTTTCAATTTTATTAAAAATCATAAAGGTATTTCAAAAATTAAACGGTAGTGCTGGATCAGAAAACACATACTTTTAAGATGTCTGATGAAATATAGATATTACAAAACTCATCAATAATCTTCTGGAAGGATTAGGGATCCAGTGAAGAAACGGTCTTTTTGTCAATAGTAAACCTTACTTTTGGCTTCTTTTTCAAAAACTCCGTATAGCTTCGCTCAGGAATCAATTTGAAAGTGCTCCATATCTCATCGTAATGTCTTGGAAAGCGTCTGAAAGTTGAGACCACCATAGCTTCCTTATACACATAAGATATTTGGTTATTTGAAAAACCGTCAAGATAAGAGGGAACGTAGTCACATGTCCAGAGATTGAAATTTCTTGAACTGTGTTGCCTTTTATCTGGGGAGATCTTCTTACGTCCCAGGCCCTGGGAAGAGTTACAAGAAGATTAGGAGGAAAATATTCATGCCCACATAGTTGTGAGGTCTTTACTAACACCAGGTACATGGCATGTATATGTTTAAATGCCCCACAGGACAACTGTCACGAGGCCTCCTTTACCAACCAGGTGAGGGCCCATAAAATCCTGGCAGCGTTTAGTTATTGTTCTCACAGGCTCCTGGTGCCACCAAGGGAACTGGACTTCTAGAGACCTAACAGGCAGAACCAGAGAGAGTCCAGCCAGAAACAGCCTGTTACCCAGCCTCTACCCGCAGGGACCTCGGGCAGGTTCCCTGCCCCGCAGCGGCTCAGTGGGCAGATGGCTCTTTCTCCGAGAAGTCTCAGGAGGCTGGAGCCCTTCCTGACCCTGAGGGTTTTCCAGAAGGAAGCAGCACCTTTGGGTCTCGTTCACTCTCAGCACCTTACGTGTGAACCTGAGAGTTACTGTGTGTTCAGAAGTGTGCGTACAATTTGGTCACACCTAGATGAAAACTGAGACAGAAAACACTATCCTGACACAAAAGGCTGAAAGGAAACAGAGGTTAGATTACCAAGATTTTATTGACATCAGTAAAGTAAGTTTGTTATGAAGGACCAGTGTTGGGGTCGCAGCAGGAGAATGAGGGCACACTCAAGTTAGGGTAACGTGAGGAGAGTTTATACAGGATCTATTTACGTACACATGGGTACGTGTAGGGGGACCCCGAGGGGCTGTGCTATGGCTCCAGGTCCGAGGGGCTGGAGCAGGAATGTGGCCCACACAGATCAGCCCCCGGGGCCAGAGTGGGCAGAAAAGGGGACAGTGGCTGGAGGACACGCAGCAGATGCTGGGCACACTGTCCAAGCACCCTTCCAAAAACTTACTTGAGGATGCCGAGAAACTAGGGGAAAGAGCTGCAGGGAAAGTAACAAGTAAAACTTCAAATACTTACAGATAACATGACTACGAAATGTATTGGAATTTTAGGAATTAACGAAAAGGAAGGAAGGAAGAGAGGGAGGAAGGGAGAGAAAAAGAAAGAAAGAAAACAAACTGGACCTAAAATTCCAATTCGTATTAAATTTATCCCTGAGCAAAGCTATACAGAGTTTTTGAAAAAGAAGCCAAAAGTAAGGTTTACTATTGACAAACAGGCTGTTTCTTCACTGGATCCCTAATCCTTCCAGAAGATTCTTGATGAGTTTTGTAATATTGATAATTCATCAGACATCCTAAAAGTATGTGTTTTCTGATCCAGCACTACCATTTAATTTTTGAAATATTTTTATGATTTTTAATAAGGTTGAAAAACATTCAAATTCTTACAGAATAAAGATATATGACAATAATCCCATGTGTAAATAAACTTTTGAGATTGCTACCTTTACTTTTGGGGGAGATTAAAAAATATATGGTTACATTTTCATTTTAAAATTTCAAACACTACAAAGGAAGACCTAACTAGAGAAGTCAGGGCCACCGCTTTGAGCCCCAGGTTGAAGTCTGGGAATGACATCTCCAGGAGTTGGGAGAACATGACCTGGGCCACCAACACAACAGCTCCTAGGAAGGGAAGTAGGTGGGATAAAACACTCCAGATGGCTTGCCTTATACTTGGGGAAAAGCTATATATATTAATTTTTATATTAATAATTATAATAATATTTGTAATAATATATTTTTATATAATATGCTATAATATATTTATAGTAATATAGTGTTAGTATATTTCTTAAACATTTATGCTTGAGGGTAACTACTAGTAGAACATCAGTAGAAGTCAGAGGGAGCAAATAAATTCAACCAATCTAGCAAAGTCAGGAGAGGGAGAAAAAAAAAAACCACATTTTGTTCTAGTAGAGGTTAAAAAAAAAGAAACAAAATATAAACATAATAAATAGGCAACAAAGAAACAAGATGGCAGACATGAAACCAAGAACATAAATCGTCATAATAACGTGAATGGGTTAAATTCTCATATAAAGAAACAAAGATTGTTTTTTAACCATGCTGTATTTTTTTTTTTTTTTTTTTTTTTTTGAGACAGAGTCTCACTCTGTTGCCCTGGCTAGAGTTCCCTGGTATCAGCCTAGCTCACAGCAACCTCCAACTCCTGGGCTCAAGCGATCCTCCTGCCTCAGCCTCCTGAGTAGCTGGGACTACAGGCATGCGCCACCATGCCCGGCTAATTTTTTCTATATATTTTTAGTTGTCCAATTAATTTCTTTCTATTTTTAGTAGAGACGGGGTCTCGCTCTTGCTCAGGCTGGTCTCGAACTCCTGAGCTCCAATGATCCGCCCGCCTCGGCCTCCCAGAGTGCTAGGATTACAGGCGTGAGCCACTGCACCCGGCCTGTATTTTTTTTTAATTTTTCTTTCTCTTTCTTTCTTTCTTTTTTTTTTTTTTAGAGACAGGGTCTCACTCTGTCACCCAGGCTTGAGTCCTGTGACGGGATCATAGCTCACTGCGGCCTCAAACTCTTAGCCTCAAGCAATTCTCCCACCTCAGCCTCCCAAAGCTCTGGGATTGCAGGCATGAGCCACCATGCCTGGCCCTTCGCCATGCTGTATTCTCCTTATAATAGAAGACAATCCAACACAAAATGACTAAAAATTATGAAAACAAAGGAATGGAGTATAACATAAGGAACAAAAGCTAGCAGAAAGAAACAGTGACAATGCTGATATTCATGGCTAAAGGCACTAAAGCATCTAAAGAGGGACACTTCATATTGATAAATGGCAAAAGCCACCAAGAAAATAAAACAATCATGATTTTTTCTGCAGAAAGATATGGTATTAAACTATATAAGGCAGAAAAACACTTTAGAAATTCAAGAATAATTTTAGAAGCAGAAATTGACACAAGACAAAAATTAAGAAAAGGATGTGAAAGATTTGAATAAAATAATTAACAGCCCTGAATTAATAAAGAATATTGTAACCAACAGGGGGGAATATATATTCTTTGTAAACACCCATGGAACACTTGTTAAAATTAATCACATATAAGACAACAAAAATAATCTCATTATTCAAAAAATAGAAAGTACAGATTATACTCTTTAAAACTTACTATAACCCATAAAACTAGGTACTAGCAACGAATAGATGATCTTAAAAAAATTCTAACCATATAGAAAATGCAAAACATTCTTCTAAATTTTTTTTAGTAAAAAGAGAAATTAAAACAATTAAATCATATACTATTTGGAAGCAAATAATAATAAGATCTTAAAAATTATTGCTTTAGATGTAGCCAAAGCAATAATCTGAACAATATTCATAGTTTTTATAAATTTATTAACAAAAACAATTGCAAGTATATGAATTACATATTCAACTGAAAAAAATTTAAAAGAACAGCAAAATAAGAGTATTTTAAAATACATTATACCAGTAAATTTGAAATGTTAGATAAATTTTAGACAAACACGCATCAGCAAAATCTACCCAAGAAGAGGTAGAAAATTTTAATAGATTAATAATCAAGGGAGAAATGGAAAAGGTAGTAAAAAACTAACTCTAGGCCGGGCGCGGTGGCTCACGCCTGTAATTCTAGCTCTCTGGGAGGCCGAGGCGGGCGGATTGTTTGAGCTCAGGAGTTCGAAACCAGCCTGAGCAAGAGCGAGACCCTGTCTCTACCAAAAATAGAAAGAAATTAATTGGACAACTAAAAATATATAGAAAAAATTAGCCGGGCATGGTGGCGCATGCCTGTAGTCCCAGCTACTCGGGAGGCTGAGACAGGAGGATTGCTTGAGCCCAGGAGTTTGAGGTTGCTGTGAGCTAGGATGATGCCACGGCACTCACTCTAGCTCGGGCAACACAGTGAGACTCTGTCTCAAAAAAAAAAAAAAAAAAAAAAAACTAACTCTAAAAAAAATTATCAAACTGAAGTAATTTTATGAGCAAATTTTATCTAACTTTCATTAAACTGAAAATCCAAATGTTACGTGAACTATTTCAGAACATAAAGTTGGAAAGCTTCCAGTGCTTTCTATGAGACTATTATAACCCTGGTAAAATATATGTGGTACAATCCTGTTTATGTAGTTAATAAGATATACATTTATGTGTGTATGTTTGCGTGTAAATTGCAAAAAATTCTCAAATTCTTGCTAAACCATTATCAGCAGTAAATTATCAAGGTGAGATTGTGATGAAGGAAAAATAAGGATGCAAAGTGTATTTTTAATTTTGTATAATTCAGTATTGTCTGAGTTCTTTAAGGACATATGTTACTTCGGTTATTTAGAAAACAATATTAAACATTCCATTTAGCGGGCCAGGCAACGAGGATGTTCCGGTTCTGTTTTCAACACTCTGCCAGAAGCAAACCAGATTTTTTAGGTTAAGCCCCTTCGATTTAGCTGAGACCCTGTAGCCTAGAGGAGAGGGTCACTTCGGGCAAGTTGTTTAACTTCACTGGTTCTCAATTTTCTCATCTCCAAGTGAGGGCGAGAGAATAATCAGCCCACAGCACTGCTGTGAGGATGGAACGAGACACTGTGAGATGCTGGCATTTGGCACACACTTTATGTGGGGCATTGTTAACATCAGCATCATCATGGACTTCCAGGTTCAGTAAGGATTCTCGGAGGTCACGGGGTACAACCTGCCACCTAAGGTATGTTAACCCTGTGCGGTCCAGTCTGGTGGCCACTAGCTATTGAGCACTCGCAACCTGAGTGCAAATTGGTATGTAAGATACGTGTAAAATACAAACTGCATTTTAAAGACTACCTTTGGAAAAAGGAATGTAAATATCTCATTCATTTGTTTATATTGATTACATGTTGAATTGATAAATTGGGAAATTACTGAGTTAAATAAAATATCTTAAGTTAATTTCACCTGTTTTTTTTAACTGAATGTGGCTACTAAAAAATTTTAAATTCCATATGCAGCTTGCACTACGTTTTTGTGACACGGTGCTGTGCTAACCACCATGCTGCCAGACTTTCTGTTCTCCAGCGACGAGGAACTCAACTGCCTCTAGAGAAGAGGCAACCCCAGCCATTAAGAAATCCTTCCTTACATTCTGTAAGCACCCCTCCCTCTGACCTCTCCTCACAGGTCCTGCTCTGCCATCCAGAGACACGCATAGCAGTCCCTCCTTCCCACGGAAGACTTTCACAAGAAAGCCCACAAAAGAGACAATTTATGGGAAGGCACTTGGAGAATTATAAAGTGCACATAAACCTAGTCAGAAATCCGGTGCAGATTTTGAAAGCTGCATGGAACTTAGCCTCGAGCGTTTTTTTTTTTTTTTTGTAACCTGTTAGGAGTCTAGTTTAAGACGCCGCTTTGTGTTGACCTTGCTCCAGTGTTGAGGTCAGTCCTCTATCTTCAACGCGCCTCCGAAAACCTAGAGCCCTGACGTCGCTCCCGTTTCGTTAGTAGCGTGGAAGGAAATACTCACGGACTCCACGTAGTAGCCAGAGTTCTCGAAATTGCGCCGATTGTCGTGAACGGAGAAGGGGAAGTTGTTGTTGACTGCTTGCTGGAAGAGAGCAGGGGCGGAGGTGAGAGGTCGCACGTCAGAGCTGCGGGATGCTGTCAGAACCGGGGTGCGGTGGCGTGGAAGGAAGGCGGATGAGGCCAAGCGACCTCGAAGTAATACAATTAAACCCGTCACCAGAGATGGAGCAAAGAGGACGCACATGTGCACGTCAGCTTAGGGCTTTGAACTCAACCTTATTGCCAGGGTTCTGAAAATCATAAAAATTCTCTTTCAAAATACCTTATTTGGAGGCAAGGATGGAAAAGTGTGTAGGCTCATGGAGCCAAAACCTGGGGGTGACTTTTGAGGCCGTGTAGACCAACTTCTTCATCTGACCAATAAGGCTCCAAGAGGACAGAGCCCTGGCCCAAGGTCGCGGGGTGAGTTTGGCAGATGTGAAGTCAACACCTCCTTCTCCTTCCTGCCACTTGAGTGCCCCTGAAGCTGCTCGTGCATCAGCCGGGGAGGCAGAACGAACTGCGAGCTGTGACCAGAGCTGCTGCTTCTTGTCCACAGACAGCCTAACTTGGCTGGACCGGGAGGCAGCTCCTCGGAGAGCACCAGGCTAAGAGGTTGGGGTGCAAAATGAGCAGCCTCTTACAAGGAAGAATGGTCTGGCCCCGAATGCCAGTGGGGCCCTGCCCTCGGAGACCTCAGGAGCGTGTAGCGGGGGCCAGAGCTCTGGACTCACCTTCTCCCGGATTTTGTATATTGGTGGTAGCTTCTCCTTCACTTGCCGGGACAAATGTGGATTCTGGGGCTCTTTTAACATAGTACTTGTGATGGATTCTGGTGTCCTTCGCGTCAGTCCAATGTGAGGGAACTGGAAAAACAGCACAAGGCTTGATTAAAACCAGACACATCTGGCTCTATAAGCCAAGTATCAGGGCTTCGTCTGTGTAGTGATTAAAATGCAATTTGGGTACTTCTGGCATGCAATGGAAATGGCATAATTTTTGCAGTTTTCAAGTATTCTTTCCAAGACAAAAAACATTGTAATGGCCCAGAGCCACCACTGCTGGTTGTTTCAAGTTACAGGGGCCACCCCTGCTGCGCTGGAGCCTGGCTGTGTTTCCACAGCCTGGGAAGGAGGGTGTGGCCCTCAGAGGGTGAGCAGGCTGCTCTGAGAAGACAGGAATGCGTTATTTGAGATCCTCCTCTGGTCGGGGAGCTCCGGTACTTGGCGCCTAGGATCCAACCCACGTCCATGGGGTGAGCCGACTTCCAGCAATGTAGGTGTGAGGTGGACCCTAGACAAGGGGCAGGGGAGCAGCGAGGGTCCCAGCTGCCTCTCCGCTGGGAATGTGGGACGGTAGAGGGTGGGCAAAGAAAGAGGGGGTAGAAGCGTGGGAAGCAAGAAAAGTGAGGACAAGGAGGATTATTTGGGGATGCCCTTGCGATCTCCCTACGGAAGGGTGGGGAGGAAATAGACTGAGCAGAGGGAGGTGGTCCAGGCCAGGGCCTCAGTTGACCCTGCAGAGAGCTCTGGATGTGGGGTGGCCCCTTCAGAGGTGGGGCATGGGGACCCGGCCTCTGCACACCCTAATCCATCAGTTATTGGAAGACTGACCCCCAGGAAGAGGGGGTGGCCTCGGGAGGTCAGCCAAGGCATCCCTAGGGGTGGACGGGGAGGGCCACACTGTCTGCAGCCAGAGCACTGAGTCCTTCCTCCCTGGAGGGGATGAGGCTGGCACTTGATGGCCACAGAAGCTCAACCCAACTTATGTGAATGGCACCTCTTAAAAGCCACCCCGACAAAGTGACCTCTCAAGTAGGGATCTCTAGGTGAAGAAAATGAGTGGAAATTAAAAGAAGCAAAAGACGAGACCCGACTCTTGGTGAAAAATCCCAGCATCACAACGTGGTTGGGACATGGGCTGTAGATTCAGAGGGGCAGAGTCCAACCCCAGCTCTCTCTCCTACTGGGTGAGCTGGATGCAAGAGACTTAACTTTTCCAAGCCTCAGTTTCCCTATCTGTAAAATGGGAATAATTGGTAGATTTGAGTAAGAGAGAAAATGCATGCACCCCGGTAGTGCTCACCTACCGTTAGCCGGTTCAGGTTTTGCTCACAGCTGTTCCCTCCCTTGCCCCCAAACCCATGGCTGTCACCTCAGGCTGGTACTCCTTCCTTCTTTTTTGGTGTCTAATGACATGGGCCAGCACTGCTATTCTCTCTCCAGTCCTCCTCAAGTCACAATATAACTGTATATTCAGGTAGCTTTTGATTAACATCTGCACAAGAGTGTGTGCAGGAGGCTGCCATTTCTGTGACAAGCTGGAGGGGCTTACATCACGTGTGTCGGATGCTTGGAGGTGCGTTCTGTGCAGGATGGTGGGGAATTCTCTGAGAAACAACGGCCTAGATGACACACAGCAGTGGCTAGACCTCTGAAATTCTATGCTGAGTGGAGAAAAGGAAGAAAGAAACAGAATGACATCTATAACCCAGCACCATTTGTGGTAACTGAGTCATCCAAGCACACAAACAGCCACACGAATAGAACTCCCATTACACACACTCGAATGGCTCCGTGTGGGGTGAGGAGGGTAGGAATGGGGGTCAAAGGCCATGAAACAACCATGCAAACCAGCCCGGCTTCTTGTGCGTAGACTCTCCCAAGGACATGCGGGAAACTGGCCACAGGGTCCCCTCTAAGGAGGGATCAGGGACAGAGGGGACTTTCTTTACACTGACCATCATTTTGTACCAGTTCCACGTTTCTTAATTAAATGCAGATATTACATTGTCTCTTTTTCCACAACAAAAATAAATGTATTTATTTCTGATTAGAATGGTAATATTAATACATACTGCTGGCCTAAAAAAACTTAAAGAAAAACATTAAGGAAGGAAGTAAAAATCTCCTACAATCTTACCACGCTTTCCCCTTAACTCTTCAGTGACCATCCTTCTCCTACATCCTCACTCGAATGTGCATCCCTATGTATGTGCAATTTTGCATACGTGACAGCATATTCTTAATGTGATTCCTAAAAATTATGAATGCCTTGTCACTTAGCAGTAACTTTTGGCTGTCTTTTCCCTCCCCCTCGTGTCACCTTTGCTGCCACCCCAGATCACAGTATTAACAGCTGAGCTCTCGTGTGATCGCATACAGACACCTATACACGCGAGAGGACTTATATCGCTTTACAAAAATTGGATTATGTTATACACACTGCTTTGCACCTTGCTTTTCTCACTTAACAATATAATCTAGAATTTTTTTCCAAGTCAACCTACGTATTTCTAATTCATTCTGTATTCTATTTTTTAAATGTTTTCAAACAATTATTTCTTAGAGGTGAATATAAATAATACAAAGGGCCTTCAGGCTGGTAACCTTTCCTTCACCCTCACTCTGGTCTGATCGAGTCTCCATTTCTCCCTGGGAAGCTGTGGAAACTCAGGCCGCGGGTGGGGGATTGTTCTAACGTCGAGAATGATGGCTCTCACCAGTTAAATGACAACTGCCTTGGGTTCATTTGTATTCTGCAAGTCTGTGAACTAGATCGCTGTAAAAAAAATGGCTCTAGCATTTTAATTTCACTCTTTTAAAATATATATTTAATGGCTATAACATGATAGCTGTGAAATAAACCCTTCTGTTAGATATTGTAACCGTGAAATATAGCTTTTTAACTAGTTGGCGGTGAAATTGGCGCCGCATTCAATCACTCAATGACTGAAATATTAAACAGGAAGGTGAAAGTGTGTGGAAAAAGTCTTTCCTACCCGGCAACAGCCAGATTACAACCGGCAAGGTCAACTGCAAAATGACTGTCACCTCTAATGTGGCAATTACTGTCCTCCCAAATGGGCTGCTGCTGACTCAAAGCCAAAAATTTCTTTAATTTTCCCAACTCATCTACAAGTTACTTTGGAAACTTCATGATCAGCACTATTCTTTTTATGCTCTTAGGTGCTGACAGAGAAAGGATTCATGCCAAGGGCTCAAGCCAAACCCCGGGGGACAGTGGCTTTCCTCCTAAAACCTGGGCACTGGGTCACATTCCTGGGCTCTTGAAGGAGGATGAAATGAATGTCTATCTATGAGACGATGATTCTCGCTTTCTCCCTTACGACAGAACCCGACTTTGGGGTGGCAATGTGCCGGTTAGAAAGTACCTCCCCAGACTCCCTTGCAGCTAAATTGGCCGTGAGATGGGAGCAGAAGTCTGCGGGGCAGGACTCCTAGGAAAGCGTTATTTTCCCAATAAAAAGGGACAGACTCAGGTGACAAGTGCCTTCTGTCTTCTCATCCTTTGACAGTCCCCTTATTTTCCTTCCTAGGTTGTGGACACACTGCCTAAAGGTGGTAGCCCCCACACTAAGGAGGGCAGAAGAGGACGCTGAAAAGCACCTGGGCCTCTGATGACTCCCTTGGGCAGCTGTCCCAGCCTTGGCCTGCCGACTTCTGGATTTTATTATTACTTGAGAAATATAAACCCCTATTTGGTTAAGACACTGTGGCGGCCTTTTATAATACACAGACAACACATTCCTAACGAATAAGAGGGTGATAGACAGAGGGGAAGCTACTAAGTCTGAGAAAAATGTTTTTCTCTTCATGGGCAAGTAGCATTATGTAGTTGACACTATTTCTTATTTTACTTTGACTGCCAGGGAACTCAGAGTCAAATCTGGCGCCCAGATATCTACAGTGCAGACCATTATGGCATACACATCTATGTTATGTATTTTCCCAGTCTCAGCCTCTTATTGTAAAGTATATTTAAACTGGTTATGAATTTTTATTTCATTTATACTATTTTTACTATTTTATTGTGTATATTTTTCATACATTACTTTAAATTTTGTGGAATGAAACAGGGTGTATGTTATGTGTGCGTGCATAAATATATATACACATATAAACACATGTGTTCTAGTTAGAAGAAATTGAGCAGCTACTATGTGCTCATGCATTATACTGAGCACTTGTGAATGTGTCATTGACCCTCACAATAGCCCCGTACCCTTGGGACACTATGCTCACATTCTGCACAGAAAGAAACTGAGATTTAGAAAAACTAACCTACTTAGCCAAGATTATGTGCAAGTGGGTAAGTCAGCCAATTTTTTAAAGCCTTCAGACCTAAACTTGCCGAAATCTTTTCCATTTTTTTTTTCTCTTTTAAACAAACAAAATTTCTAAAACATTTTCTTCCTAGTGCTGCCCTAAAATAAGTTGACATCAGGTTTTCCTGTGTCTCTCACTGTGAGTATAAGGAGGACGCAGGCAACAGGCCACTGCTGTGATTCCCCCTTGACCTTTCTGTGAATGAATTGCAGGAATTAGAAATGGAACGACCTGTCAGCACATGAAATACACATGTTAAAGAGCAAATAAGAGAAGCACTTGGGTGGACAAGGCTGAGACCCCACACTTAGCAGTGACCCAAATGTTTCTGGAAGATGGTAGAACAGTGATGAATCCCACTGAGCATGTAAGGACATCGAAAGGGAGGTGTCTAGTGAAGAGCATGAAGCTGGAAAGTGAGGTTTTCAAATGATCGAGATGAGTGAACGATGCGTTCCTAGAACCTTCTTTCACAGTCTGGTGGCAGTAAGGGAAAGAGACCGTGAGCCAACAGGAATTTGTGTAGAGATTTCTAGTATAAGACTAATGCCTTCAGTGAATATTTATTGAGTGCCTCCTATGCTCCGGATTCCATTCTAGGCATTGAAGATGCGTCCGTGAGTAAAAAGGACAAGGACCCCGGCCCTCGTGGAGCTGATGCTCTAGCAAGGGGAGACGAGTGATGCACGTAATGCAGGTTACATAGTATGTTAGAAGACAGATGTTACAGAAAAAGGAAAAAGAAGGAAGGCAACAGTCACTGCCTAGTGGACATTTACAAGGTTCTAGTGTGCTGAGCATTTTACGTGCATTATTTCATTCAATCCTTCTGAGAATGTTAGGAGATTCCCATTTCACAGATGAAGGAACTGAGGCCAAGTGATTTGTCAAAGGTCATGCCGCAGTAAGTAGCAGAAGTGGGATCATCTGAACCCAGTTCTGTGCCCCTGACCACACCCACATGGCATGAGAAAGATTTGCGGGGAGCACTGTCTTCCTTACCCATCTTCCGTCCTTGTCTAAAGGTGGGTTGAAGCGCCTCCCTTTGGCCATTCTCTCCAGGAAGCCGAAGGGGGCTGGGATGGACTCCCTCACCTCTCCATGGCATCAGCCCTGTGCATCTGGAAGCCACCCCTCCTCCTCCTCCTCCTTCTCCTCCTCCTCCTTCTGGGTCCTGATCTTTGCTTCTCAGCCTTTGCCAGGAGCCGGGCCGGGGAGCCCATTGTTGCCATGGAGTGGGTGCTCACGCATCACAATGGGTGCGGAGTCCTCCAAGCTCTTGGAGCCTCCCTGCCACTGGCTCTTGCAGCTGCGGCTCCCCAAGGTATGAGGCAAAGAGCCGCCAGGTCCCAGCTGAGGACGCCCTGTGATCAGGTCAGACGGGAGGACAAGACAATCTTGGGGAAACAGCAAACTCTGTTCCCTCTAGGTCCTCAAACCAATAATATTTGAGTTGGATATACCCATGGTAACCATCTGTCCCAACCTCTTACTTTTCAGAGAAGTAAACTGAGTCCCAGGCTTGGGCTGACCTTGTCCACATCAATAACACGGCTGCGCCTGGGACCCAAGCCTCCTGCCGTCCCTTCACGGGAGCCTCTGTGTCCCCGCTCAGACCCAGCCGTGGGACTCGCTCACAGCCACCCTGACCTGCCTGACACAGCAGTGGGGCCACGAGGAAGTAACATTCATGAGTCATTGTCATATGCCAGGCGCTGTGCTAAACTAAACACTTTCACCTGTTTTGCTTTTCCTCCGTGACAACCTTCAACGTTTACAAATAAGGAAACGAGGGTCACACAGTGACGGATGGGGCTCCAGAAGTCACTCCAAGGTCATGGGACAGCTCCAGAGCTCACGACGAGCCTTTCCAAGGGCCACCTGGCCTCCCTGAGGCTACAAAGGCTGCTCCTGAAATCTGGCCTTTCTCTCTGGGCCCGCACACACAGGTCCCGCCTCCCCGCTACTCCCTAACGTGCTTTCTGCTTTTCTCGCTGTCTTTCTGCTCGCTTTAATGCTGTGTCTGGCCAGTTCTCTTGGCTATTCCACGTGAGGATGAGAGCGCACACGTACGGGAGAATCTGTCCAGCTCTCCCTTTTGCTAAGAAATTGTGCCCCAACCCCCCCATCCCACAACCTTCTCCCCGAGTATTCTAACGAGTTGCAATGGCAGCGATGCAGGACCTTATCCTCGGCCAGCACCGCCGGTCCAGAGAGGAAGGCTGCCAGATGTGATGCCAGAGGTGCCACAGTCCTCTGGCCACTGTGACGCCAACAGCCGCGTGCTAAGGAGAGAGGGGGAAGAGCTGGTGGGCAGCCTCTTCGGGTGCTGGGGGGCTGCCGTACCAGCTCTAGATAGGCGATCCTGTCATGTATGCCATGCCGGGAACACTCCCTGGGTTTCTGCTACCTGCTGACAAACCCGTTGCAGCCGATACGGTGCATCTTCAACTTTGCCTGGCCCGGCTGTCTGCCCCCCGATGCCGTGGCGTAAATGTGCCCTCTCAGCTGCGGCGCAAGAGAGTCCTGCTGTTTCGCAGCCTTGCCAAGGCTTGATATTTTGATTAGGAGCAAGTCTGGCTGGGACGGAAACTCAAAACAACAGGGGCTCACACACGGTGGACATGTATTCTCTCTGCGTAAACGACGTCAGGAGGAGGTCATCCAGCCTCGATGTGACAGCTTGCTGTCCAGGGCCTCAGAGACGAGCCTGCCTCCCACTGGTCACACTCAGAGGGCCCCAGAGGTGGCATCTGCATTCCAGGCAGCAGGGTGGAGGGAGCGAAGTAGCCAGGAAGGGGCGTGTCCCCATGTATCACATCAGACCAATCCCAATCCCTTGCGTCCTGACACTCTTGTCATTGGCTCAGCGGCTTCTAAGGAAGGTTCTGGCAGCACTTCCTCTCCTGGGCCAGAGCTTAAACCACATGGCCACGCCTTGCTGGAAAAGGGGGTTGCAAAATACGCTTTGTCCTGTGGGATCATTGCCCAGCTGAAGGTTTTTTAACCTTGGAAGAGACAGAGAACTAATATCAAAGGACACCCAAAGTCTCTGCCAACCTAATGGACGTTCTCTTGCCTTTAATTTGAATTTCCCTGAATTCTGACGAGAGCCATGGGGCAGAAGAGGAGGAAGCACTCCATCCACTTCTCAGCACTGTGGTTACGCAGGACCCTACAAAACACTTTGCAAACTCTAATGTACTTTGCAAAAATAAGGAAGGACACATAGAAAAAGCGCTTCAATGTTTCCTAAGTACTTTCACATGCTTTGTTTTGTGTAACTTTCACACCAACCCTAAGAGATGTGCCGGTTATTTCCTTTTTGTGTGTATCCCACCCCCTTCATTCTCCATCTGTCCCCATCCGGTTCTGCACCCTGGAGTCGGACCTGTAAGGACCGGATCAGCTATTCCCTGCCCTTTGGAAGTACTGGGGAATCGGATGGGCAGGAGAGAGGCCAAGGCAGGGTGTGCTGGTGAATGCTTTACAGCCGGCTCTCAGAGAAAAGCCTGATTTGTCGTGGCATTTGCCAATTTCTGTGTGGTGTGTATTCCGCCATGGTGGATTTCAAGCTAATAACATTGCTGAACATGGAGTTGGGAAGAGACATGCACAGTAGGCTCCTATAACATCACTGGGACAAAGTACTGGTCTCCCAGGCTCTGTCCCTCCCAGGCCCTAATTTGGAAGGGGCTGTGTTGGGCAGCCCGTCCCCGAAAGCTGCAGCTCTCGCTTTGAACAGGTCCCTCTCCCTGCCCCTTTGGCCTAGGGGTGGACAAGGTGTCCCACTCTTGCCGGTCCCAGGGAGCTGTACCATCTTTTGTCAGTTCTGTGACCCTGCCCACATCTCTGGAGGACACCCTTCATTAAACTTCCCTCTGTCGTGGAGTGTGCCATCGGTTTCCCTGCTGGGACACTGATGCTGAAGCAGATGTTCGTAATGATGTCCACCCACAGATGAGGAAACTGAGTCTCAGTGAAGTGACTCACACACAGACACATAGCTCATATATGGCGGAGCCCAAACTAGAGCCCAAACGTACTGAGGCCAAGTTCAGCGACAGCCTCAGACAGTGGTCATTCCATTGCATTTCCTAGACGCTGTTAAGTCACTGGGCAGTGACTTTACAAAAGAATTCCTTTCAATTCCCTTTCCTTAATCTGCATAAAACAGGGCCCATGTAAACGCCTACCACCTAGCCACAGTCCCTCACCGAGGTGAGCTCTGGTAGTCCAGGGGCAAATGACTGACATCACGTGCCACTCCGGTGGCCATCAGTGGAAGCAAAGCAGGACAGCACCACACAGGTGAAAGCGACAGGCCAGGGATGTGTTCTGCTGCTCCTGCAGCCTGAGACTAAAGGTAAAGTCAGTGAGGAGGAAGGAAGCCGAAGGCTCAGAATTTAAAAACCTAAAAACAGTGCCATTTCCAACATTTTACGTGCATTCGCTTTGTCTCCACCAATGGAGCAGAAAATCTTTTAGAACTGAAATCCCATTTTTAAATATATTTTGCATCTCCTCTATATTTAGTCTCATGCTCTTTTAAACAAGGTACATGATTGTTGGTTAAGGTATATTCCAATTTTTTCCTTTTGAATGACTGTTAAAAGTTCTAACAAATTTGCCCAAGGAAATCAAAACTGAATAGAGAAAATCCAGCCAGGAAAAATGAAATTTCATTTTTCTTCAGCTAGGATTTCACAGTCACAAGTTGGGTTAGGACTGTTCGTTGTCGATGTTATTATTTTCAGAGGTTTGGATGACTGGGCTGCACTTTTCAACCCACCATTCTGAAATCAAGCCCTGCAGCACTCGGGGAACTCAAACCACGGGGGCTGAGAACGTCAGCTGAGCTCCGTCCTGCCGCTGCCTTGGCACACGAGGGCCCCGCGAGGGATGCAGCGGTTCAGAGCGGCCTGCTAGGGAGTGTCTATGACGGCAACACTGAGCGCGTGGCAGGATCCAATCGCTCATTCAACAAATGTTACTGCACATCCACCATGTGCCAGCACTGAGGCAATTCCCAAAAGTCAGTTCTTTATAAATAGCAAATCATGAACCGAGCAATACATCCAATGGCCAGCACCCCCGATAATCCATTAGCCAAAAAGTATTTTCACTGAGCATTTATAGCAAATTGTTTTTCCCAATGTATTTTTTGGCATGACAGTTGCTGTGTACTTTGAATTCTCAATCTTTTACATCCAAAGTGTTAAGAATTTTATGAAAATTAGATGCACCTATGTCTTCCATGTATTAATATTGCCAGTGAAGTATGTCATTCCTTGTTTCATTAATGATTGTCTGTCTTTTGCGGAGAGAAAGTGGTAGAATTATGAGGAGTTTGTAAGAATGTTTTCACGTGTGTGTCTACACATGCCCACCCCATGAGTGTACCCACAAATGCTCACATCCTACACGTGCAGGCATGTTATGGTTTGTCAGTTTGTCTGCCACCAAATGAAAGTTTCATTTTCATGTTTATGTCCACAAATCCTGGACAATTAAACATGCATTTGGGGAAGGTCGATCTATCTGTATGTCAAATGTTGACTACCTGAGAAATTCTCAGCTATCTGAATTATAAAGCATGTTTTTGTTTCACCCTGCAAGGGTGAGTCTGGATTCTTTCTGCAAATAGCAACCAAATCGAGGTGACCCAATTGCAATTATTTATTATGAAACATGATTTAGGTGGCACTGATGGAAACCGTAGTGGATGTGCAGCACCTTTGCATGCCGACTTGGAAAATACTCAGGCATCTGTAACACGAAGCACATTTTTTGTTTTATGCTTTACCCTATGTTGCACACTATCTGGAAAATTAACTGCATCCCTCTCCTTCATTCTCAAGAAGACGATTCCTGGATCAAGACAAGAAAGACTAATTGGAAAAACAAAAAGGATAAGTTGACCAACTGGAAATTTATTAAATTGAAAGGTAGAAACTCATTGTAACATTTACAAAAGTTCTTGACTCTGCTGATCTGCATGACACCCCAAATTCAAATGTCACAGGACATTGTTATTGTTAATGACTAAATTT